GTAATTCCAGGAAGGCATTGCTCCATGTATAAGTAGTTTATACTTGTTATAATACATGTAGTGGAGAGCCTATTTTTCCCAAAGAACAGGAAAACTAACAAAATAAAAAAAGGAAGCACATATCAAGATAAAAGTGCAAACACAGAGACACAGGCAGGGAAGCATAAAGCATTTTCTAAAAGAAATATCTTCTCAGAAACTAGGAATCACCCAAATAACTTTTTTAGATCTAAATATTAAAAGCTTGGAAAACTACAGGACTTGGTTATTGGTGTTTCTGTCTTGAAGATCAGGATAATTTTTTATAATATATAATTGTCTCGACGTCTGGAAGTAATTCTGCACGTTCAGTGGCTTCATATTTTTAGACACTTAGATGTACCCTTTTCAACATCATTTTCTTTCACAGAAACTCAGCGTTTTAAAGAAGGTTCAAATAGGAGCTTTAAAGAGGCCAAGAATATTATTTCAAAGCTGTCCTCTTTCCGAATGTTAGAGCTATCAGCAGAAAGAGTCAGTACACTGAGAAAATAAAGCTAAACCATCCACAGATGGCCAAATGGAATTTTCATTTTGGAAGATATTTTATTTCTGCTCTTTTCAAGTCTATCTAAATAAACCTGATGTCCCTGGAGGCAGGCAGGAGACTAATTAGTGAGGCTAAAACTGATCAACTGCAGAAGCCCCATCTCTGAAGTATGTGGCATGCTGGAGAGAGTCTAGCAGATGAATCTTTCCTCTGAAGCCCCACAGAAATGTGTGTCATCTTCTTTCCATCTGAGAGAACAATGTGAGGCTGTCACCTGTATGAACAGAGTAAGAAATCAGCCCTTCTGCACACCTTCCATGCCTACCTGGATCAAAAGGGCACTACAGGTGAATCTGTAGTTTAATTTTATGTTCCTTTCTTATTCTTCCCTACTCAAATTGCATATCATCCTGGGCTAGACATCCATAAGTTCCTCCAAGCCCCACCTGGTATTCCTGGGATGCTGGCCACATTTTGAGAAGCCTTACAGAAAATGAGTTGGCACTATCTGTTACCCCATATGGGCAAAAGCTTTGTTCTATCTATGTTTATCTTGGCTTTCTCTAGAAGCCAGAATAGACCATGTAATAAGACCAGTTTTCCTTTCCTTCATCTGAGAGAAGTTGTCTTCTTGAACAGGTTAGAGAATAGTGTCATGGTTCCCCCAGAGATTTCCCTAGATTTAGACAAATGGAATAAATCTAGGTTTGAGTCACATGAACCTGGGTTCAAATCCTGACTTCATCGCATACCTGCTGGAGCATCTAAGATGTGTAACTTAACTCCCTGGATTCCGAGCTCCTTTGCCTGTAATGTGACAATATCACCTGCTACGTAGAGTTGGGAGGATTAAAAGAGCAAAAGTATCATGAAGTATTAGCTTAGCATGGGGCTAGGCACACAGCAGGCACCCCACAGGTGCTGGCTCCCTTAGGAATGAAGACAGCCCCAGCCATCAGCTCTGTAGAACACTCTGGAATTCAGAGTTCCATGTGTTTTCACAGCCACCACACCTCTTCCACAGTCTCTGCCAGGTGTTCTTCCTCTGCGGAAAAGTACTTGAGCTCCATCCTTTGTTGGATGGCCTCTAGGATCAAGCTGTTATGCCTCAGAATTGTCTCTAAGGCAGCACTTTCTGGGGTGGTCACTGAAAGAGAGGGGGATCGAAAATTAGTACAACTATGGGCACTTTTCCCTTCCTCTTTCCTCAACTCAGCTCTTCGGAATGAGAACACACTTCACCTATCTCCTGCCTGGGCTTGGTAGTGAGGAAAGTGGTGAATGGCACCGTAATCAGAATATAATAATGAACATAATCTTAGAATAATTACTGCATTCTGAAAAATAAGGTTTACTAACTCCTGTGTCCTTGAACAAAATTGTCGGTCCTTACTTCTAATGGTAGGGATGTGGATGACCCCATAAGAGAGCTCTCTCTGTTTTCTGGAAAGACTGACAGTACTCTCTAGTAGGCACAAAACCATAACAGAGGCCAGTACCTTACCTGCCCGGAAGAAAGCATCGGCACCAGGCTCCCTTCGTATTTCCTCCACGAGCAGGTTCAAGGGGCAGGTCTTTGTCTCCTGAGCCACCAGCAGCAGTTGCCAAATGGCTGTAGCAGACAGAGTCTGCTTTTCTAGAACTGCTGACATCAGGGAACTGAAACCACCTGAACCAGAGTCGCGTTTCACAAGCTTCTCCATGACCTTCAAGATATAGCATAAACATGCACGTAAGAGACTTTCTAGCCACTGGCCCAGCTGCAGAGCTGCAACTGTGGGTATTGGGTTACAGTGAGCATATTTCTGGGAAGGAGTTTCTCAACATCCTTCGCCTCTCTCAACCTGAGAGATTTCTTACACATGACATCCCTTTGAATGCCCTTATTACCACAGAAATTACAACCATCCTACTTGTCACTACTTTGTCTTAGAAATTAAATGATCTTCTATTTCTTCTTCTCTACTTAGCATTTCTCAACATGACTGTGTATATATATTTATAGAAAATATATGTGTATGTGTATATACATATTTTTTGTATTTTTTTCCTTCTTTCTCCTTTTACCCTTCCTCCCTCCCTCTCTCTTACCTCTCTTTCTCCAGGAGCTAAACTCGTCATGTGTGAGATCACCTTTAGTAACATCTGGTTGTCTGGGCAAATCTCAGAGAGGTTTTCGTGATACCGTCTCAAGAGCTCAGTCCCATAATCATCAAGGCTTGGTTGGACTGTAAAGAATTAGCAAAACAGTAATGTTTGATGCAACAAAACCTCCTACAAAAGACCATGGGATATTACAGATGAGAGATGAAGGAAAAGATCAGCACAAGAGCTCTGTCTCCTCTGCAGAGTCCAACTCGCGGCTTGGGGCCTCATGCACATGTGTTCAGATCTCCTCTGGTCCACACTTAATCACTTGGTGCTGCAGGGTCGTAAAACCATGAACACTTTGAAAGTTAGTGCCTGGTGGTAGAAGCTAGCGACTGCTCGACAGGGGGGTAATTAGAAGGCTGCGCTTGTAAGAGAGTCAGATGTACAGATTCAAGGGGTGCTATTCGTCACGCCTGAGGTAGAGGGTCCATGTGGTGATGCAAAATACAGCACGCATGAGACAAGACTGCTCGTGACACCGACCCGCAGCTCAGCTCTGCTTATCTGCCCTTTGAGCCAATTTGTTAGGTTCTGTCTTTTAAGGTCATTATTTACTTGAAAGTAAAGAAAAATCAAAATTATCAGGCATTTCCCTTAGCTTTGTAGATACTAAATAAAAACTGATTCTCTTCTTTGTCCTAGTAACTTCATTTCTAGAAATATAATCTTAAGAAATTCTCTGAAGGCAAAAAAAAAAAAAAACTATGTACAAAGACAACTGTCAATGCATAATCTGTGAAGATGCGGAAGATAACAATTAACATTTATTGAGTGCCTACAAGCCAGGCACTGTGCTAAATGTTTCACATGTGTTATCTCACAGTAGCCACAAACATGAACATGACAGGTACCATTCTTATCCCCATTTCACAGAGAAAATGAGGCTCAGAAAGGTTAAGTCATTTGCTCGGGGCAATACAGCTATAAAATAGTAGTGTCAGACTGCAAACCCAGGTAGTCTTAACCATTATGCTACATCTGCCCTAAAATAAGGATATTATATACATTTTTACAATGGAAAACTATGTAGCCTTCAAAAAACAGGATTATGGGAGTTTTTTTGAAATGTGGGGGAGAGTGCTATTATACTGTTAAATGGGAGAAACCATAAAATTATAAAATATAGTAGTATCAACACTATAAAAAAGTGTAATAGATAAAATATGTCAAAGTATTAATACTGACATACTTGAGTGGTAAGATTTTAAGTTTTCTTCTTTATTTCTGGAATTATCCCAGTTCGTGTAAGTACATATCACTTTTGTAAGCTACAAAACAGTTCTTCCATTTCCCAAATATCCTTTTTCTGAAAACTATCTCTGTCCTAAATACCCTGGGAGAGAGGAGAATTGGCTTGAGTTGGACTGTCTTTCTAAGGAATGGGATATGGACTTATTTTCCTATGCTGAAGAGACACAAGGGTAGTTAGCTCTGGGGACACTGAAACCGAAGAGAATGCAAGTGGAAAAGGGGCAACCGAGACTTGAGATTCTGCTGCTCACATCTGTCAGCTCAGCTCTCAGGATGCTGAGCCTCGTGAGCACATCTGCTCCCTCGGCTTTCACAAGTGATCCTGGACGGCCCCAGGAAGGCCACACACCGATAAACCTCGACCTTGAACCACAGGACACCATGAGGGAGCTTAATCGAAAGAGTCGTTCTCAGATTTCCAATCTGAACTCCAGAAATACTGAGAGTATCAATTCGTGACAGCTAGTTTCTGTTTTGCACTGACATTTCTTAGCATTATCTTATCTCCCCAGCATGGAGGTAAAAGGGTGTTTTAAAGCTACCGGGTCATTAAATATGAAATGTCCGATCTCAAATCGAAAGTATAGTTTATTATATCTCAAACAAGAAGCAGTATAATTAATCAAAGTATGCACCTGAACTATTGACACAGTTTTGTCATCTTAATAATGGTAGCTTGTTTTATGCCAGCAGCAAAAAAGCCTGGAGAGCGAGTGGTGAGGAAATTGCAAAAGGTGTTTCCCACGGCTTGTGGATAATTGAATATTTTTCTTCTCAAGAAGTGGTCCAAAGTCTGGAAGAAGTGGTAGTCAGTTGGTGCAAGGTCTGGTGAATATGGTGGATGACAGAGAGTTCCCAAGTACATCTGCTGTATTTTGAGCAGCACTGTTTGTGTGACACGTGGTCAAGTGCTGTCCTGCAAGAGGATTGGCCTGTCTCTATTGACCAATCTCAGCTGCTTAATCACAAGCATCCTCATCATTGTGTCCAGTTGGTTGCAGTAGACATCTGATGTAATTGACTGACCAGGTTTCATGAAGCTGTAGTGGATAACAGCAGCGCTGGATCACTAAACAGACACCATTAGCTTTTCTGGATGAATATTCAGTTTTGGACGATGTTTCAACACTTCATCTTTATCTAATCATTGTGCTGAACACTTGCAATTATCAAAAAGAATACATTTTTCATCACATGTAACAGCACGGTGTAGAAATGGTTTGCCTTTATGTCATGACAGCAAAGAAAGGCAAGGTTCGAGACAATTTCTCTTCTGATACTCATTTAGTTCATGCGGTACCCATCTATCCAGCTTCTTTACCTTGCCAATTTGTTTTGAATGGTCCAATATTGTTGGAATAATGACGTCCAACCTTCTGCTAATTCACGTATAGATTGAGATGGATTCGCTTCCACTACAGCTTTCAGCTCATCATTATCCACCTTGGTCTCAGATCACCCACGTGGCTCATTTTCAAGATTAAAATCACCATAATGGAACTTCTCAAACCAGCGATGTACTGTGTGTGCATTCATTAGCTACATCCTTCCCACTTTATGGATATTTTAAGCTGTCTGTGCTGCCTTGGTTCCATGATGGAATTCATACTAGAAAATAACATGCATTTTTGACTTCTCCATGGTTTCACAAAAATTGCTCTACAAAAATTTGAAAGATAATCACAAGCCAAACTGCGTTTGAAAGAATGAGAATGGACCCTCACAATAAAAATAAAACAAGAAGTGTCAAAGTGAAATGTCAGAGATATCAACTGTCAAACTTGGTACTTAAGGAAATCGGACATCCCATACTTAATAACCTAATGTAATTTTCCATAGGAGTGGTTCTAGTCCAGAGAGTCAACAATTAACTAATACCTGTGGTGCTTGGCAAAGTGGCTATTTTCTGCAAATTCTCTAGCAGAAGGCCCAAGTTTGGGAAAGTCATCTTCACAGCTTGGAGGAGTTTTACCAAACTCGCAGCAGTCAGGGTCTTCTCTTCAGTCATTCTGTGCAACAAATTTTCTATTGTCTCCTTGGGTGTTCTGCCTTCACAGCAATTCAGAATCACCTGCAGTGGCAAGCAATCAACCAGACACCATTACTGGCAATTCGAAATTTCTCTGACACAGCACTGGAAAACCCAGCAAGGCGGCATTATAGGACACCCTGTCTCCAAGTCCTCTTCTACTGTTCTCTAGCATTATTTTTTTCTTTTTTCAGTTTCTTCCTTATTCTGTTTCAATAAAAATCCAAAGCATTCTCCAAACAAATAACTATGAAAATCTTTCTTTCTCAATTGCAGGTCTATGTATATTCTCTGCTTCAAACAGCTTGTGTTTTGTGAAAACACTGTTAAATAGGCCTATATGATAAAGCAAAGTAACTTACATCTAACTTAGTTCTCTAGTTTCTTTAGACACTGAGATTGAGAAACGCAGGCTGGCAATTAATCGATATAGTATAATGTTTTTCAATCTCTGCTCAGTAGTTCATGATATTGGCAGAAGTTGTAATTTCAGAGTAATTCTATTATTTTATTTCCTTTTACTTTATTTGTATGGTAATTTGAGTACCTAGATAATTTATACATTAGTCTGTGGACTCCAAAATAATACATTTTAAGTGCCTTTCTGGATTATTTTTCTTGTGAATTCTTTATTATCCATTCCTCTCACTCTCAATGGCCATATACATCAGTTCCAGTCATGATTCAACAATTCCACTCCCTTGCTCTTCCTTGGCGTGCTAGAGGATTTTCTGAGTCAAAAGGGCACAGAGCTCCAGCAAAAGGTTGAAAAATAAAACACGTGACAGTCATTTTATAGATATTTTCCTATTATAATAGAACTATTTCTTAATAGACTATGACACAGTACGCATAACTTAGCTCTATGAGAATGATAAAGCAGGGGATTATTTCGATACATGCAATCTACAGATCCACAGTGACTGAATTTTGAGCTTTCCTTTGGGAAAACGCCAGCTCTCAGGAGAAAGTCAAGCAGATCAATCATGATAGTACGCCAGAGGCCGCCATTATCAAATTAACTCCCGTTTTAAAATAATGAATTTAGTTTTAAAACCAAATCGGCTTTACATATATGAAAGGAATATATATAAAATAAATCAAATTGTCATATTCCTTGTCAGTATGGAATAGTCATTGTCTTTAAGGTCTAATATATAGATTTCTACTAAAGGAACCATAATTTAAAATTTAAGAGCTTGTATCTAAAAACCATACTGATTTCACCACTAAATCTTAGTTCCTAAGCAATAATCTGATACAAAATGAGGCAATCAGATACTGTTAAGAGCAGGTATGGGCTTTAAAGCCAGTCAGACCTACTTTGAACCCTAGTTCTAACATTTATTGCCTGTGTGACCTTGGGCAAGTTATCTAACTCACTGAACCCTATTTTCCTCATTTGCAAAAGAAGATAACAACACCAACTCTTGAACAGCTGATATGAGGATTCTGGAAAATGAAGGTGCTGTTTATAGAGCCTAGCATAACTCCCAGGGCACACGTGATCTTTAAGAAATGATAGTAACGCTATCATTATTATGATATTATTAGGGAGCAGTGTGCACAGTGGTCGAGAGACTGCTTTAATTAGAAGCCTGGGTCCCAGTACTAGCCTCACACAGCTGTCTCTGGGTGAGCTGCTTAACCTCCCTAAGTTTCTGTTTCTTCATCTTTAAAATGGATGAAGAAATGGTAATGTGCACACCTTCACAAAGTTGCTGTGAAGGTAAAATTCAGTAATGTTTAAAAGGTCCTCAGCACATTGCTTGGCACACAGTAAGCAGTAAATGGTAGCTATTGTAATTACTATTTTTTGTCTGTTTCTAGTCCTGAAGTAAAGACTTTCCTACGTACCATTTCTTACAGAACCCAAGGTCTTTATAAAGGTCATGCATGGCACTCCTGATTAGCATAATTTCATAACAGAAAAAAGTTCCAAAGAGGGTGCACATTTCACATGATGTCAAAGCTCTTCGACATTCACCTCTACACTCTTTGTTAGTTTGCTTCAATTTCCATGAGAAGGGATAGCTTAATGAAGCTCTGGTGGAACTCCAATCTTAACAAGTGTTTTTGTGATTTATAACTAATTTAAGTTCTTCTGCTTTAGCTTTCTCTATCAAGCAAACTGAAAGTGACAGAAGAAAATGACAGTGTGGTCAATCTTGCTTCAGAGAATGAGGCTGAGCTGGAGCTCTACCTATGAATGCCGTTCACCAAGATAATGAAACAGTTCAAAGGACACATTCAATCTAACTAATAAGGAAAAGGTTTGAATGAGTAATTGAATGAAATCACTAAAGAGGGAACGTGAAACTTCTAGAGCTACAAGCAACTTACTTAAACTGAGTGCCTGAAATGACAATCTGAAGTCTAAGGAGAAAACAAGAGTTTAATCTTTTTTTTTTTGTATATCATCTTTCTCTAAGAAGTTCAAAGGACTTATAATTTTGAAAAACAGAATTAATTTGCAAAATACAATTCTGAGACTGAAGGTTACTCCCACTATTTATACACATGCACATATATGTGCAATATACAGTCACTGAGAAAAATGAAACCTAGGATCCAGTCCTCACTATAAACCCAGTGCTTGGCCATTATACCAGCGGTTTCTAAAAACATTTAAGTCACTTCCCACAGTTTTAAGAATTGATGCCACAAAGTACTCTATCTCTAATTCCTTCTTTCCAGATATAAAAATATTTTTAGCACAAAGTTGAAATCAATAACACCAACAAATACAGTCATCCAGTTGCCTTGAGAAGTCATGCCAGCAGTTTTATGAGGACTTCAGCAGCTAGCTGGTGGGAGAGTAAATTGGTACAACCTTCCTGAAGGGCAGGTTAGCAGTATGTATCAACACTTGAAAACTTTTACACTTTCTATTCCAAAAGTCCACTTCTTAGAGATTATTCTAAGGAAATAATTTAAGAAGTATGTAAAGATTTGTGTGCAAGCAGGTGCTCTACAACATCACTTGTTACGGCAAAAAAAAAAAAAAAAAAAAAAAAAAAAAAAAAAAATGGAAACAAACACCCAACAATGAAGAATTAATGAATTATGGTATGTCCATCAGACAGGATATAATACAACTATCAAAATCCATGTTATAGGTATAAAAATGTATTAACATACTAAATAAAAAACCAAGTTAGAAACCTGTATGTTTCATATAACCTCATCCCAGGATGACTTGAACAAGAAAGAGTGGGAGCACATGATCCAAAATGTTAGCAGGGCTCATCTCTGAGTGGTGAGATTTGAATTCTTTTTGGTTTTGCTTGTTTCCCCAATTTTCTACATATTAACAGGACAGCACATCACTTCCGTAAGGAGAAAAAGTATCACAATAACTACAAATTTTCCTTAACATTTCAGCTCCCGGTGTGGCTATTTATATTAAAGATTTATTGAGTCAGAGCAGGAACAGTATGTATCCACCCATCCACCCATCCACCCACGGGATGGCTCAACGTGCAAGGCCCTCAGTAGCTGCTGCAAGGGATACAATGGGGCATGAAACAAGGATCTGAACATCAAGGTGCCTGCTATGCAGATGTATAAAAATACTGCAAGGTATTGTGATGTGCCGCAAAAGAAGTTTTTTGTGTTTTTTTTTTTAAAGTGCTATTATGAATTCAGAAGGCGGGAGGAGATACTCGACACGGTTACCCTTTTTTCGGCACTAGTCAGGAGTTCCTCCTTGGCTGTTTCCAGGAACTCCATGATAGGTCTCAGCTGTGTTACACACTGGATCAGGTCCTCTTTGTGTTCTAGTAACAGAACAGACAAGGTCTTTCCCTCCTCTGTGCTCCCTGGGGGAGAAAGAGTTAGAGACACACAAGAGCAGCTAGTCAATTTGAAGAAAGTGACAGCGTGGTTTGTTAAGAGAGATCTAACAGAATAGTAAAGTGATTTTCAGCTTATTCTGAGCACCTGAATGCGGAATCTCTTTCACAGAGGAAAATACTTTATTATTCTGTTTAAACTCTATGAAAGGAAAAATGTTTCATTTATCTGTCGAAACACAAAGCTGCAGAGCCAGCCAGAGGTTAACTTCTGGTTGGCAAGGCCAATGCTTTGTACCTAACCCAAATGAGAGAAACTTCAGTCTTTAAGTGCTGTCAGCAAACCAGCTCACCCTGGGCACTCAAGTCATTGATTTGGATGTGTGGCTTTTTGAAGGGCGGGAGAACATTGATGGTATTTTCCAACTTCGAGGTATCGGACTAGTTAACTACTGGATAGAAATGGGGACTCAAATTTAGTTTGTATGTATTTAACATGCAGTTTCTGGAATTATATGTAGAATTTATGTGAAAACCACTTAATAACTATGCCACCAAAGAAATGTATCATTGGAATAAACTTTACAGCAACTTCCCAGAATAAACTCAGTCATTCCAGTGGACAGGAATTTTCTCCTACCTTTTGGCTGCACTGTATCTACATCTTCTGGCTTTCTGCTTAATAGCACTGTTTTCACTGCAGGATTAGAATCTTGGTACAGCCTCAACAGGGACACAACAGCCTGGACATCCAGGCTCTCGTCTCTTACTTTATCCAGGATTCTCTGGAATGCTGAATGTCCTTCTTCACCCTCAAGACACTTCATTATGGTCTAAGGAACAAAAGCATCCAGAAAGAGAGATTAGCCAGCCACAAGAACCACATGTGACTCTTGCATTTGGCACGCAAGGCCCTCAACCGTTTGATCCTTACCCACTACACTTCCTTCCCCCCAGCAGCAAGTCCCACACACCCTGCTGTCTCATGCTCCCACCCTTGTCTCCTGGAGGACTCTATTCCACGATTCCATGCTCTCACCTTGCTTAGGGGTTACCTCTGCTGGGAAGCCTTTCCCAACCACGGGCCCTACCTCCTCTTTACTGCTTTTTTAATTTTTTGAGACAGAGTCTCACTCTGTTACCTGGACTAGAGTGCAGTGGCATCATTGTAGCTCACTGAAACCTCAAACCCCTGGGCTCAAGTGGTCCTCCTGTCTCAGGCTCCTGAGTAGCTGGGATTACAGGCGCACACCACAACACCTGGCTAATTTTTCTATTTTTTGCAGAGATGGGGTCTCACTCTTTCTCAGGCCGGTCTTGAACTCCTGACCTCAAGCAATCCTCCCTCCTCAGCCTCCCAGAGTGTTAGGACTACAGGTGTGAACCACCACGCCTGGTCTCTCTTTACTGCTTTTAATTCTGTACTTGTCACACTGTCTTATCATTATTCATTTCTTTTTCTATTAGACTTCTTGAAGACAGGATTGTGCTTTCTAGAGCTCTGTAACCTCAGCAACTAGCATGGCCTGACACATAGTAGGTGTTCAGTGAATTTTTAACAAAATGCACTTCTTACCTAATTATACCTTTCTGAATCTTACAACATTTTGAGTATTTCTTGGGCAAGGATATCTGAATTTAAATTGAATGAACTGTCATTTTATTATTTGAGAATGCAATTAAAATCTCACCATTTAGGAAAAAAGAACACTTTAAGTCATTTACATTGCAGATGATAGACTATTTAAAAAGACACGGGCCTTATTAATTTTAGATATATTCTGTAGCAATTAAGGTTAACAATGTGTTGGCTTGTAGTTGCCAGCTGTAAGAAGAACATATGATTCACATACTAATTATCCCATGTTAATCACTGTTTCCAACCTCAAGGGGCTTCGTAGTTTCTTCCCTAACTAATGTTGTTTACACAACAAGCCTTGCCTCTGGCCTTGTGCCATTTGACCTTTCAGTGGCATTTGGCACTGCCATTGCCTCTGTATCACAATTCTTCTCTGACGTAACACTGAAGCATTTTTTGGAAAAGATCTCTGACCACTCCTTTTCAGCCTTTCCCACTGGTTCTTCTTCCAAATCCATAACCATAAACAGTACCTTTAGAGAGATTTTATCTTTCTCCCCTCCTCCCAAATAAACAGAATTATAAATAAGTTAGGCCTTGAGTTTCTTTTCTTTGCTTTATCTTGCTTCCTAATCACAGAATGGCTGTATAAAACTAAATTAAACACTAAAAAAGTTTCCTGTTTTTGGTCATCTCCAAAAGCAAACATAGATTAAAACACAGTTTAATAACCCACATTAAGATATCATTAGAGTTAAGTAACTTCCAAGAACCTAAGGTAACTCATCTTCTATTTAAAAAATAATAAGACTGGGCACAGTGGCTTGTGCCTGTGACCCTGGCACTTTGGGAGGCTGAGGCAGGAGGATTGCTTAAGACCAGTGGTTTGAGACCACCCTGGGCAACATAGTGAGATCCCATCTCTAAAAACAAAAAAATAATTAGCTGGGAATGGTGGGGTGCACCTGTAGTCCCAGCTACTTGGGAGGCTGAGGCAGTAGGAGTGTGTGAGCCCAGGAGTTTGAGGCTGCAGCGAGCTATGATCACACCACACACTCCAGCCTGGGCAATAGAGCAAGAATCTATCTCACACACAAAAAAAGAAAAAAATAATAAAAAACAACAAATAAAGCCATCAGTTGAATGCTTAATCCCCTTTGGTCAAATTAAATCAATTTTTCATGCTTTTGTTAGTCGGCCTTTAATCTTTTCAAGATGCCTTTTCACTAATAGCCACAGGGACCCTGTGTTAGGAAGCCTCTAACATGGCTCCCAGTGATCCCTTACTCCAGGTGTTCATGCCCTTGGGCTGAACCTCACGACCTGCTTCTAACGAAGAGAATATGGCAAAAGTTACGGGATGCCACTTTAGAGGTTCGGTTACCATGACTTCCATCTTGCCTGTGTCCTCTCTCTCTCTCTGCCCGTGCTCTGGGAGATGCAGGCTGCCGTGTCGTGCGCTGCCCTATGGGGAGGCCCATGTGGAAAGACACTAACGTCTCCAGCCAACAGTCAGCGAGTAAGCTTGGAAGTGGATCTTCTGAAGCTTGCCAACAGCCATGTGAGTGGGCTCAGGAAAAGATCCTCCCTCAGCTGAGCCTTGAGATGGCTGCAGCCCTGGCTGACACCTTGACTGCAGCCTTGCAAGGGACTCTGGGCCAGAGGACTCAGCTGAGCTGCACCTGGATCCCTTACCCACAGAAACACTGAGGTAACAAAGGTTTGCTTTTAGCTGCTAAAATTTAGAGTCGTTTGTGACACAGCAATAGATAGCTCATACAGATCCACTCCCTGCTGATACCCTCAGTAAACACATTTCTTCCTCTTTACCTTCCCTTTCCTTTCTTCCTTTCTTTTGTGCATTCTAACGGACATAGCATATAGCTATCTCATTCTATCCTAGGCCAGGTTTTTTTTCCACGTGAAGCTCTGCGAATATCCCAAATCCACCTTTCTCAGTATCTAATTTGTCTGGCATTATCATTTGCGCCAGTGGGGAAGAGAAGCTCTCATCAATGGTGGCATCTGATGCGCTTCTCATTATCCTCTCTGCTGTTTCCCCCTCTGCAGAACTACTCAGCAGTGAAATTAAAACATTTGTTCACTTCATTGCTCAGCAGTGATGCTAGGGTGACCATCTGGGAAGAGAAGCAAGGGTGGGCTGATGAAAGGGCCAGGAGAGGGCAGTCAGCTGCCCGGACAGCCCTGGTCTCTGCTCTTTCTTCCAGAACCTACTGGGGACCTGCACCAGAGCCAGAGCCATAGCTGTTTCTCCATCAGCCTCTGAGCTGCCTGGGGCTCCGCAGCGGAGTGAGCAAGCCCGTTTCTGAAACGGCGTCTCTGTCTCAACAGAAGGTGTCACGCATTAGGACAGGCTGGGGGTCCTCAATTGCTACCATGTAACAGAACTCCAAGAGAGGAACTAAAACAGTTTTGTCAAAAGGGTAAGTTCTTTAACCATACATTTGGAACTAACTCCTTCAATTCTCAGGGTTAAAGGTACCTCACTAAATTCACGCTAATTCATGGTCACACAAGTAATCAAAGTACTCTACCTATGAGTGAAATATAGGTAAATGTATTTAAAGATGAGACAGTTTTCTCTGTATATGTGAAAAACCATTTAATCTTTCCCTTAACTCAAGTCTTTAATTGAATTCACTTATTTCCCCCAACTATCTGCCTACTGCCTTAAGACTTGTTTGAGTTACACTCTATTCCTGTCCACTCAGGCCTCCCTTGACGGCTGAGGGCCAGGTGGTGGCAATAATGACACAAACTACAATCGCTCACCACCATCCGGGACACTGCAGACCCGCCACCTACTTTCCTCCTCGTACCAGTGCCAAGAGGCATTACTACTACTACTATTTTAGATGAGAGTCAGAGAGGTTAAGTCACTTGCCTGAGGTCACAGGTATGGTAAGTAGAGCAGCCTGGATGAAATGCTGTGTTCATTCTATACCTCTGGCACCCCAGCTCCCAGATTTGAAATGTAATCAGATCTATTTATACTGGTTCTAATGGACTTATCAGAAACGACATTGCTTTAAACACCGGGTAGCACCTAGACAATCTGTACCATTTTTCTTGAACTCAGTGTTGAGTATAGAGACCGGTACATAGTAGGTACCCAATAAATGTTTGTTTAATGAAATTCCCTTCATAAAACCACTAGCCCCTGTATCTATGGCTGTATATCTTAGACTTAGTAATTAACAGAGAGGAGATTTGAAAAAACAACTTATTTCCACCTCTCACAGACCAGTAAAGTGAATCCCATTAACTCACTCTCAAGAGGGTTCCCCAACAGTGTCAGTGAAGACAGTCCTCAAAACGCAGATCTGCACTACTTCACAAACCTCCAAAGAGGTGGACACAGTTGAAAACATCAGATTCACACAGGAGAGGAGACTTGTTTGCCTTTGAAATAAAGTTGAAGGAGAAAAAAAAGCTTTGGGAGTCTTTCTAGAGCTTTAGGTGAAAAGTGGATCAAAAAGCCCAGAAATCAATAGTAGAAAAAGTTATCTCCTTATTCTAGTCAAAGACCTGCTTTGCTGTATACACAATTAATTAAAAGCAGAGACATGGCTAGGAATAAAGAAGGAAGACAATTAAAAGTTCTAGCATAAAAACTGAAAAAAAAGTATGAGTTTGGCTTTAAATAAAGGTTTTACTTGGCTGAGCCAGAGGTCAGTAGTGACCTCTTGGGTCACTATCTGCTTTTTCTAATGGGTAGGGGATATTACATGGAGATAAAGACAGGCAAAAGACACTTTCCCATCCCAGCCCCCAAGAGATTTCTCCTTAATCAGTTTGGCTTTGGTTTCACACAATTCAAGCAGCCCTGCCTCTTCTCATGTGGCTGCAATCACTGCTCAGGGAATGGCTTTGCCACCTTTCATCACTGATCTCAGGAAAGAAAACAATCAGGACACTGGTTCATGGTGTTCTCCCCGAACTCCATGCAGCCCAGCTATACACTCTACCTGTGTTTCAGAAAAGGAACAGGCTGGTCCATCTCAGCCAGAACACTGCATCCCTCACAAGCCTTAACAAGCCTCAAAATTATACACTGAGGGGTAGATTATTTTTAATGTTAAGCTGTCTCAAGTTATACTGTGATGATTAACCAAATAACAACAACCAACAACCACAAAACACCACTCAAAACTCTTTGGGAGCTAAAATGTACAAATAAAGAGAAACAAAAAATTCCAAACAAGCTTTGAAATTGTACAGAAATGTAAAATA